GCTAGTGGGCAGGGACCAGCCAGCAATAGGACCACCCAGTACTGTTGGGGGTGGGGGAGGAGACTACGGGATAACTTGCCCATTTATAAGAAAAAGCGAGGCCATCTGCCGGAGGGCTTTAAACGGGATATCTGGTCACCTCGTTTTACCCACCCCGCAGGGACATGGGATTACAATTTGACAAAGCAGGGAGGCTGAAAACCGGGTAGTTCTAACTGCATTGGGAAGCATGCCCGTGGTGAATAAACCAACACTGCTCCTTCAAGGAAGAGAAAACACAGATCTGAGAGCCCGGGGCCCTCCCCAAACCCCTTTTCCCTCATGGACAGAGCAACAGGTGCCAAAACAGCCTGTAGCAGCACACACAACACTGGAAAGATGGGCTCTACATTTGGATGGCAAGAAAGGAACAAACAAAGAAAAGGAGGCAGCAAATAAAGAGAGAGGAGCTATTTTTGGTATTCACTAATAAATGCTCAATATGGAAACAATTAGCGTGAAAAAAAATCCCTCCCACCCTTTCCCTCTCCTCTCCTCTCCATTTGAAATAGAACAGTTAATAAGTTTGCTCCAGGAATGTAAATGACTCCCAACGCACTAGGATGCCAGACACTGCCCAGAAACCGCAATGGAGAAGGTACAGGCCCTTTGCCTCAGTGACGGAGTTCAGAGAGTGAGCAGAAGACCAAGGACTTGGATAAAAATCTCAGCATGAAAAGAGGTCGAAAGGATTGGGACTGACTCGAAAGGAAACGAGAGAGAGGATACAAGGTAAAAGTAACAAACTAATACAGGGACTAGGGGAGGCTGATCTTCCATTCATCTTTCCCACAGCAGAACAAATGGATGAATGAATTCCCAATGGGTAAAAGGAAATACTTTTCCCACACAAATGCCCATTCACGCGGCCCCAGCAGACTGAGGCTATGACTTTCGTAGGACTCAAAAACGATTGGAGATCGGCTGTTTCTGTAGATCAGGGCTACTCAACCTGCGGCCCGTTGGTTTGCAGCCCGCCGTGCAGTTTGGGTTTACAAGGGGCTCAACATGGGGCCTGTGGCTGGGATCCTTTGAGCATGGCCTCCGCCCGGAACACGCTGCGCAGCAGCGAGGCGTCTCCCAGGCGGGGTGAGCACTGAAAGATGCCAGTGGACCAGCTGGCTGGAACAGACAGGTACCGGGTGTCGGCGTGTCTAGCCCCCAGGGAGGAGGTGCCGGGAGCCCAGGGGCATTGTGGGAAGTGCTGGCTGCTTAACCTTATAGGCAGAGCCTGCAAGGTGCTGACTGGCTCACACTGACCACATTTGGGTCCGGTGCTGTGGCTTAAGGGTTAATCTTTGTATTCAGCCCGTCCCTGTGAAAGAAGCTATTTGCATATATATTTGCATGCACATGCAATCGTGCTTAAGTTTCGGCCCTCGGCATGTGCTATGAAAATCATTGTGGCCCCCAGGGCTTCCAGAGTAGCCCTGCTGCAGATAAGGAGACTTAACAGTAAAGATTAGCCAAAAGATTAGTATTGAAAGGGATACAAGTCCTCCGGCTTCTCATCACGAGCCAGATTTAGAGCCCCACGTGGACACAAAGCTTGGCTTGATACCCACAAAAAAAGAGCTGCAGCTATCTGCATTGACATCTGCAGATGCGGATACCTGTGGATATCCACCAATTCGCAGAGTTCTAGGCACAAAGTTTGTGTCCACATCCACAAAAGTGAGCCACGGCTGCGTCCACGGAAGCAGATACCTGCAGAGTTGCAGGGCTCTAAAAATAGTGGACTGGCTGGACCATGATCCAGTCTGACAATTCCTATGAATTTTGCTGCTGCTTATAAGCTAGGTTAGTGTCATGCAATAGAAACGTATGATCCAAACTGGCCCACAGTGACTTCAGTAGCAGTTCCCACCCCTCTACCCAATAGGCTCCATGGAGAGTTGTCAACCCTCCAACATTGTCTTGGAGCCCCCAGCAATTAAAGCTCCATCTTTTAATTATAAGACGCCATGTGAGGACGCCTCCAGGAATCCACCCAACCCGAGCTCCCGGGGCACAGGACTAGGCCCCAAGTAATCCTGAGCTGGAGCAACAGAGAGCCTGCCTGAGGGGAAAGCCCTTCTCCCTGGGACCACTTCAGACCAGTCTCTCAACCTGTGGCCCACAGGCCACTTGTGGCCCAATCAGCAAGGAGCTGAAGCCCATGTGACATCTCCGGACATACGGGCAGTACTGGATGTGACCCACAAGCAGCTGGAAGAGACCTCAGGAGTCATCAAGTCCAGCCCCCTGCCAAAAGCAGGACCAACCTCAACTCAATCATCCCAGCCAGGGCTGTGTCAAGCCAGAACTTAAAAACCTTTAGAGATGGCAATTCCCCCCCACCCCTCCCTAGGGAACCCAGCCCAGGGCTTCCCCGCCCCCCTAGGGAAATAGGATGAAAACCACTGTTCTAGACTCACCCATCTAGGGAAGGCTCACCCAGGTTTCCTGCCAATTCTGACAGCTTGCCGCTCAAGGGGGGAACAGAGCAAAGGCTCCCAGAACGATGCATCAAGGGAGGCAGCAGCTTTTCCTGGCAGCAGCCAGAGATCAGATGCCCCAACACTCCCCCACAGCTTGCAGACAGAGATGCTGCTCCACAGGCGACACGACCTGAGGCGAATTACTCTGCTCCGTACTGGGAAAGTGGAAACCCATCAAAGGCAACGGGGCTTGGAAGCCAACACAACGAGCAAGCTCCAGCACAGACGTCTGGGAGAAGCCAAGGGAGTCTCAGGAGATGGTGAATCAAACTTGAATCATTCCACAACCCCAGGAAGGGGCCTGTAACCTGCCTGTCGATGCCCAGGGTTAGAGCCCTCAGGCCTCAGCTTCAACCCCGGGGCAGGGCATAGGCTTCAGCAAGTCTAGGCCAGCCTGGGCAACCCCATTAAAAAGGGGGGTCAGCCTACTTCGGGTCCCCACCCAGTCTGAGACTTGCTGGTTGAGGACAAGGCAGGCCTCTCACACCAGCACCGCCTGGAGGCCTGTGCAGGAGGCGGAAGGACTTGCTTTATTTCAAAGGGAAATCTAGGAAGCCAAGTGCTGTCCACATAAGGGGGAAAATGTGCCTGAGGCTCAGTTCTGCAGCAGCTCCCATGCCAAAGTCACGCTGCAGCTAGACGTGCAAGGCACCACGCCCAGAGCACAAGAGCCCAATTCGCACCAGCAAAGGTACATGACATTTCAACCCTCCCCCACAGTGCAAAGGGGCTGCAGGGGAATCCCAGAGCTTGGCCTTTAGCCCCCCAGCTGCAAAATCAGCTCCAGCAGAAGCAGCACACTCCCCTGCAAATGCCCCGCTTGATATCCACGGGGATCTGCCGCCACGGACATGGACATCCGGGGCTCATTTCCGCGGAGACAGAATTGTGTAGCCGCGCAGAACCAGAGTCACATACGTGCAGCACCCAAGTAGCATCAGCGTCACACAGATACAGCAAGCCTCCCCGGGGATTCACACGGAGCAGAAGGTGGGCTCATCCATCAGCAAGCAGTCCTGCCACAGGTACGTGGGCTCAGCCAGAGCCCTAGTGGAGGCAGCTCACACGGCCGCCTTCTTCCAAAACCCCACATGGGGCAGAGGCAAGCAGCATGCCCAAACCCGCCCGCTAATCCAGAGCCCAGTCACATCAGCAGGTTTCCTGCCACGGTCTTTGTGGTCTGTACAGCACCTCGCCCAAAACCAGCACCCCAGCAGGGGCTCCTGGGTGGTGCCAGGATATAGATAATGGACTTAAATGGAATTTGGGTTAGCGGAACACAAGCAGCAGCAAAAGGGGTGCAGGAAAGGAACAGCGGCACAGCCAACATTCATGGTGTAAAACGGTGCTAAGACCGTGGGCATCAATTTCAGGAGAAAATGTTCAGGGCACAAGTAGCATCTCACTGCAGGGAGGTGGGGGACAGGCCCTGGCCAGCATTCAGGTGCAAACATACAAAAAGGGACAGCAAAGTGGGGTGGGGGTGGGGGGGAGAAGAGAAGACAAACCTCCCTCTAAGTGAGCTTCACCTGGCAGCAGCCCATGAATATTTACTGGGAGCAGCCCCTTTAGCACGGAGGCAGACAGCTGTGACTGGAGAGGCTGGCGCTGGTTCCGGAGCCTGAGCCAGCCTTCAAAAAACTAGCACAGAAAAGCCACTTAATGTGCAATTGCTCTCCCCAGCCTTGGAGATATTACTCGTCATCAAAACCTTCTTAAAGGGGCCATGCCCCTTGTGTGCTCACATCCCAGAGCCTTCTGGATAATAAAGCATTTCCTGTCTGAGAAAAGCAGAACTAAAGGAAATCCATAGAGGATGCAGGTGGAGGATTGGTGGGGGTTTTTAGTGCACTTCTAGGAGTGCTGACCCAGAAGTTGGCACAAACTGATTAGGTTCCAATCTTTTCTCCCAGGACTTGTCTGTTCCAACTCCATCCTCCAATTTCACGACTGGATTTTCCTCCTGATTCCCCGGTTTGCATTGAACCCACATGCTAAGTTACAGAGCGGTGACTTCACTAGTGATCAGACAACACCCGCTGGCATGCAATCGAGTTAGTGAACTAACCTAGCAGCAATTCCCCCTCGGCAGAGCCGAGCCAATGGGAGTTGAGGGAACTCTGCACCCGAGGATCAGACTCCACGGCGTTAGAGGGTAGGCAGTTCGCTAGTGACTAGGAACCGTGACTTGGCCTTCAAGACACATACCTGCTCCCTCGCCCATCCGGCTGCAGAGCGAAGCGCTGTGTCTGAGCCACGCCTCCCTACCACTGCCCTCAGAGCACCAGGCACATCGCCCGGGACCCCCCCTCGCAGGAGCCGAGGCCTGCGCCAGGCGCATACAGAAACCACCCTGGTGGGAGCATCACTCCATTTTTCTCAGAATAATTTATTAAATACAGCTTTAAAATATGTCCAATTCAGTCATTAAAAACAAAGGTGAACTTCAGAGATTGCTCTGTGCGCCCCTGGACAATCATTGGGTAACCCGCAGTGCGGAGGGAGGGGTCGTGCCCACGCTGCTAGGGAACGGGCCTTTCCCATCCTCCCCGCCCCCCAAAGCGGTTCCACAGTACGGACGACATTTGCACAGAAAAGGGATCTGGCCCCCAGGAACCGGTGATGGGACTGGCAGAGGCAGGTGGCGGCAGAAGTAAGAAAGGCCACGGCTCTCTGAACCGGCTTTGAAAAAGGCCTGCGGCTGGTAGGGTGGTCAACAGGGGCACCCCCAAAAAAACCAGGCCAAAGGCTCACTGTAAAAAGGGTGCCCTAGCCTCTCCCTCTAAGGCATGCTTGTTGGTTCACACTGCAGCTTGCAAAGCTAGTTTTCCTTCAGAGCCAGGGGACCCTACTCTGTGGGTCAGCCTTTTCCCCCAGGACAGCACAAGCTTGCGCTGGGAGCTGCAGCCAGCTTGGATGTGGGGAGAAGCAGGAGTAGGCCACAGGCAAAGGGCCTTTCCAGCACTCCCTCCCGCTGCACGCCCGGCAGCTCCTGCAAGCAAGGTTCTGGCGTCGGATCGTTCCAGAGGGAGGCAGCTACCCCAGCAGGCGCCTTGGGAGAGTTCAGAGGTAGCGTTAAAGTTTGAAGCGTGATTGTCGGTTTCCAGCTGGTGGAGAGCAGGGGGAGGAGGAGCACAGGGGTCACGGTAGCTCTCTTGGTGGAGGCCAAGCGCCCAGGAGGTTTCTAGTCCCCCAGCGGATTTGACTGGCATGGCAGGGCTTAGTCCCAAGTCCACAGCACTTAAAAGGATGAAGCCACTAGGGGGCAGCAGGTGTTGCTCGGAAAGTCCTACACTGTTTTTATGGACAATTCTATTGCTGCAGGAGACGAGTTTCAGAAGTGCCATGGAAAGGTTAGAACTCATTCAATTGTATAGTCCTCTCCTCTCCTCTCCCCTCCCCTCCCCCGGCCATCCGGGATGATCCCGGCACGAGCCCTGCTAGAGTTACTAAGGAGAGCCCAGCTCGCCAAGGTCATGGCTGGCTGGAAGCAGGCCGGTGGCTTTGCAGCATGGCCAAGCGGACAGCTTCCACCGGAGACCCTTTGTCCCCTCCAGAGAGCTCCTTCCATGGCAGGCCTGGCCCAGTGACTAGGGTGAAGGGGGGTGCAGAGCAGGTGGGAAGGGCTCCGAGGAAGCCAGCTACAGCTAAGGAGGACAGAGGCTCCTGAGCCCAGTCCCCACTAGAAACAGTCCTCAAAAAACCCCACCCCATAAGAAGAGTCATCAAAAAATCCCCACAAGTCCACCGATGCCGACAGCAGACACGTCAGTAGCACTTTCAATAAGGCATCACAGGTGCTTCAATACTAAAGCAGCAGATAAAGTGTTGGGTTACAGTACAGGAACGCAGGCCCTTGTGCAAGGCGGCCCGAGGGCAGGCAGCGGCTGGGCCCGGGGGTGTGACAGGAGAGGGGGGCTGAGGGGGCTGGATGGTTCTGCCCCCCCACCCCGGAGACACACGCCTCACACAGCTTCTCACCAACTCTATTTAAAACAAAACAAAACCAGAGACTTAGAAGCGTCAGCCTGGGCCTAGCTGGGGCTGCTGGTTGGCCGCAGGTGTAAGCCGCTTTGCGTGGTACCGGACGGGGAGCCGGCGTGCGCCGAGCAGCGCCCCTCCGGGGTCCGAGCACAGGGCTAGGTGCCGTTGCTGAGGCTGGAGTTGGCGCTGCTGCAGCTTTGTTCGTAGGAAGGAGGCGCCTCTGCAGGGGAGAGAAAAAGGAGAGAATTTAGGAGTCAGATTGTGCAGCTTCCTTCCCACCTCTCTGCTCCCCGAGCTAGCGCCCAATCCAAATCCCACTCCCGCCATTGACAAGTCTCCGGGTTTGCAGGATCAGAGCCCAGAAAGGCAGACACACACAAGCAAGGGACTTTTGGGGGCAGGTTTGCCAGTCTGCTCCTGTCAGGGCACAGATGCAGGAGGGAGGCTAGGAATGCCTCTGCGTGGACTACAGACAAACCAGTGCGCAGCCCCCGGCCCTGCCCAATGCCCTGGAGATATGTGAAGAAGGTCGATTAGGAGGCTATCGAGAGCCATCTGCTGCTACTGAAAGAGTCACCTACCCCTCATTTGTCTGTGCCACACAAAGGAATCCACTTACGGACCTGTGTTGGTCCAACTAGCTCGCCCTTCAGAGCTATTGAAAGGTTCACAACCCCGGCTCTGGCAGGGATTAACGTTCAGTTTTACAGGGGGCCCCAACCTGGATCCCAGTGCGCCTGAGAGTGGTGAACCCCAGCAAGTAGCAGCCGGTGGCTCGGAGGAGGGTGACCGCACAAGCTCAGACCATGCGGGATAAGAGGAGGTGCGGACCTACGCCTCTCCAGTTCCTCTCTTACAGCCACGTAGACTACACAGCAGGGTTGATAGGGACCACGCATCTCAAAGACCATTAGCCGCCATTATTTCTTAGAGCACGGGTTCCTATTTGTATGCCACCCACGGGTGAGTGGGAAGCTGTATTCATCGGCGTGGAGGGAGAAAGGGTGCAAGTCTAATACTGCTGCCCCCCCAGCTGCAGCCAAGGCCTGGACATATGCATGAGGTTTCACAGAGCTATGGATGGAGCGCCAGGTGAACAGCCAGATGAAAGCCTCAGGTCAAGAGCGGTGAACACCATTCGCTCCTGCAGGAAGGGGCTTACTTATGCCAGGGTAACCGTTTGGTGCACTGGTTTGCAAATAAAAACAATTGCTAACGATCCAGCCTCCATTTTCCTCAGGTGCTAGGCAGCATGGGGAGTAGAAACCTTTCCCTGAGGGCTGACCTGTTCCACGGCCCCTTGTGGGATGGAAAAACCATCTCCTCTGAGTGGCGCCCGAAAGGAAGGGGAGAGGAATTCTCTAGAATAGCCAGAGTGGAGGATTTCTAATATCCACTTGTCCATTGCAATCACCCTCCAATTGTGGGCAGAGAGGGTGAGGTGGCTGCTGAACGTCTGAGGGGGCAGCTTCCAGAGAAGATTATTCTTGATCACCGCCCCAAGCTACTCCTGGGTGGTGGCGGTGTTGGGGTATTCGCATGCTGGGTGGTAGGTCAGTGGAGGCGGCCGTTGTGGTCTGGACACTCGTGCTCTCTTCAGGGCAGAAGCGTACACGCCTGGGGAGCAGAGGGCGGTCTGGGGTCTCTACGCGCACCGAAGGATGGGCCGACTTCCCGCTAGTGCGAGAACTTGAGTGATACGAGACATTGTGACAAACCCAGAACAGTGTCACCAAAACCGAGGAACCTCGCCAGCATCCCCATCTCCACCCCGCCAGACGTCACCTCAGCGGCATCCCCTGCCACTTGGAGACGTGTGTCAGCCATTGGCCGGCCCGAGGGAAGCCTGGGAATTGGGCCGGCTGAAGATTGACGCTTCAGGGACCAATTCCCAATAGCTGCTGAAAGCGTTTTGTAAAGAGGGTTGGGGAGTTCGCGACATGAAACTAAGGGCAGGTAGAAGAAAACGCCTTCGCCCTAGAAGACTGGGCTCTAAATGGCTTGGCAAGTGAGACGAGCCAGGGTAGCATGGCGCTTTCCAGCTTCCTGGGCACCACCCCAGAAGGGGGGGGGTAACTTCTGTATCAGCCGAGGAGTGAGAAGGAACTCCACTCAGCCCTCAACTGCTGGAGGGCCCCCCTCCTCCCAGGTTTCAGAAGGGGGAGTTGCAGACGCTACATTTCACAGATCCTCTTCCTAGCAGCAAAGGCAGCCGTTACTGAATGCTCCCCGAGAAGGAGGGAGGGGGTAGGAGATACAGTTCTTCAGCCAAGCCCCCCTTGCAGTTTAGTCACAAGTTTCAAGACAGAAAACACTGGTCGCGCCGGACACGATCCAACTCCGCCCATGCGGTGGTAAGAAGCAACTGGAGAGGGCACCGGTGGCACCAACCCTTATTCCTTTGGTTCGGCGCATGAGGACAGGCCCACAGACACTACTAGCAAGAAGTCTCAGGTGCGTGGCACGCATATCCGTGTGTGCAGTACAGAGGGACCAGCACTCCACCCAGTCACCATGCTTTTGTGTATCTATGCAATGGTTTGTTAGTCCCCCTTAATCTCAACCCCTCCCCTGGCCATTCAGCCACTGCTTGTTGGCTGCTATTTGGTCTCAAAGAAACACCTTGGGCCAATTTTACAGCCAAAACAACGCTTTGTGCCTCAGTTTTACCTGGGCATGAAGGGTGTTCTTCTTGCCTCAGGCTATCGGTTTGGTCTGCATCTGTTCCCTCACCAACCAGTTCTCTGGCACAGCCAGTGCTCCCTGAATCTTCTCCTCATCCATTAATGAGTTCCCCAGTTCTCACACACACAGCTTCCCCACTGAGCCTGACCAAATGCCCCTTCACGTCAAAGGAAAGACTCCTATTAAGTCACTTTCCCAGCCCTGCTACCAACAACATTTACACCAGTGTGTTGGGCCAGCACCCTCTTTTCCCCCCTTGCAAAGAGATTCTCTATGCCCAAGAGCAGGGGTAGGCAGCCTCCCTGATAGACACGTCTGTCATTGCTATAAGGGAGGGGGTGGACCCCTTTCAGAGGCTTCTGGAGACCCCATGGCTTTCCCAACAGGCCGTGCAGCCTGGTCTCATGCTGACCTGGCCGCCACGGACAGAACCACCACCACGCTGCAGGGGTTCCACAACCGCACAGCAGCAGGCTGAGGAATAATTTTGTACTCCCAAGAGCCACTGCACCGGTTCCCCCTCAGACCTCGAGAGCGGGCCTTGGAGCTCCGGGAGGGCACGCTCACCATAGGGATAACCCCACGTGCTGTACTCCGGAGGCAAGATGAGAGAACTGGCCGTGGGAACCGGAACCACTGTCCCCTCCGCGTAGTAGGGGATGGTCGCGCCTGTCGACAAGCAAAGCATGGGGTGGTTTGGGGAGCCGGCCTGGTCCGAGTCCGGCCTTAGGTCCTGGAAGCTCAATCCCGGAGCGTAGCTGAACGGCTGATGTTGGGAATGGCATTTGGTGGGGATTGAAACATTGTCCATGGGATGGTAGCCACCAGCTGCTTCCTCCTCTTCTGGCGGGGCGGATGGGACCACGACAGACGGGATGTGCTGGACCGACCGGGACGGGGTGAGAGGAGCCCTGTTCACAGCGATGTTGCCGATGTAAATGGGCAGAGTGACAGAAACCTCTGGCGACTTCAGGGAAACCTGGGGAAAATAAAATAAAATAAAAAGCCACAAAACCAAGGAGTCCGGCAGGCCAGGCTCTGCCAGGGGGCTAGTTGTGCCAAACACAGGCAGTTCCAGCCCGAGCGGAGATTAACAAACCAGCTACAGCTCTAGGCCAGTGGTTCTCAGTGTGGTCCATAGGCCACGAGTAGTCCAGGACAGTCTTGCAGGTGGGCTGTGAGCTCAGGGCAGTGGGGAACACGTGCCGGTAACCCACAAGGTTGGAGTGCCAGTGTCTGCTTCCAGCTGTGGGACAGGGAGCCCCAAGACTCGCAGGCCAGATCTGGCTTGCGGGGGAAGCCAGCAACTCCATGCACAGCTGTTTTCCCCCTTCCCCTGGCTGGGGCAGGAGGGAGGGGGCAGGGGATAAGCAGCAGCACTGGAATCCTCTTGCCTGGAGGCTTTTCCCACTTCTCCTATTGGTTGGAATCCTGGCCAATGAGAGCAATGGGGGGTGCCTGGAAGTAGCAGGGGGTGCAGAGCCAGGTCACTCAGACCCTCCTACTTCCCCAGACCTCCCCATTCTCAGCTTGTTCCAGCACCCTCTCTTGGCCAGACCCTGCACCCTCACTCCCTCCTGCACCCATTTTGTTATCATGGGTGGGTGACTGGTGGCCCATGGAAAGGTTTGTATTGAGCGGGGTGGGCCACGGGCCAAAGAGTCCGAGACCCCCGGCGTAGAGGCAAGCCCAGCACCCTGGTGGCTGCTCCAGGGCTCGTGGCATTTGCTCCCAGGAGTACAGTTCTGTTTGGAGCGCTTCCCCCAGGCACCAGCTCCTCTGGCGCTGCCCCACCAGGACCTCTGGCCGCTCCAGCCCATTGGAAGCTCCCCAGAGCGTTCTGCTGATGGGGGAGGGGCAGCGCCTACCTGGATGTAGTAGTCCACGTGTATGAGACTGCAGCCGTGCAGCACAGACTGCGGCAGCGCAGGGACGAGGATCTGCTCCTTCCATTCGGCGTGCTTCCAGGCCTTCACCCCCGAGCCCTCCACCTCGGCGATGGTCCGCAAGTCATAGATCCAGCGCTTGGATTTATACGCCACCTTCTGCATGGGGCCAGAAAAGGGGCCTAAGATTTCTACGCTGTTTCACTGGGTTGCAGCCGCGCTCCGGGCCTACGGAGGCAGCCAGGAGCTAGCAACCCGCTCCGTGCTGGGAGCGAATAAGCTGAGGTCTGGCATGAGACGCCCCAACGTGGAATTCCTGCCTTGTGGCTACAGCCAGTTACCGGAGAGCTGCCGCTGCCGCAGACACACTGGAGAGTAACTCAGAGCTGAAAGCCCAGCGACTCAGTGGTGTGGGCACAGAGCGGGCTGGGGGACTCACCTGCCGTCTGCCCGCTCAGAGTTACACAAGTTCAACATGGGGGGGAGGGGAAAAATCTCTCTCCCCCATGCCCAAGTTAATTAATGCTGTTTCCCCACTAAAGGTAGGGTCTCCAGCTGAACTCCTCCCCCCACACCACTATTGGGCACCTGGGGAAGGGAGATAAACTCTGAATCCTTGTGTAGCAGATGCCAGTTCTATTTAATATTTATATCCTTGTGCCTAGGAGGGAAATCAGGTCTCCAGCCACTGCTCGGCTGTGGCTCCATCCAAGCCAGGAGCCCCCGCCCCTGCCGAGGACTCTTACCTGCAGGAGACTGGCCACGATCGGGCCCCGG